AACTAGCATAGAGTAGGCCCTCCATTTGTTAGTTTCAGTGCTTGTATTCGATTTTTCATGGTTTAATCAAGTTATCAACAATTGTTTGATCCATATTTTGCCACTCCATTGTCAATGTATCTTTAATTTAACGTATTTTTGGTTGCCCGCTGTCGAAGTTTTCGGTCAAGGTGCTTCTAAACGTGCTCTATTGGATTCATGTCAGGAATTTGGGCGACCACATTTGTGATTTCATTTCTTGCGATTCCTTCCAGGACTTTGCTCGTATGACATGGCCCGATGGAAAAAATAGACATTCTTATCAATCAGATTGGTTTCAAATGGTGGGAGTAGTCCTTTCTCTAATATTTGACAGTATTTTAGACCATCCAACCGCTGGTCAACAAGAATCAGCTCAGATTTCCCTCCAGACCAGACAACATCCCAAACCATTACTCCAATCCCCTCCCATATTTTAGGGTCGCCTGCAGACATTCAGTGTTCCAAGTCTCGTTCTGATTTCTCCAAACATAAACCTGTCTCGAATACGAATACTGGCAGGATTTACCTTCATTTGAACAAATTACATACTGCCAAATTTCATAATATTTGCTCTCGAATTCTCTCGCCAGTCCATACGAAGGTTCCTGTTAACTTCTGAAATCAAGGGCTTCTTTCTTGCAAATCTTCTTTGATTGCCTAGCTTTTTCAGAGTCTTTCTCGCCGTATATGGAGACATTTCCATGCTTTGGCGACATCTTTGACGCTCTGACGACGGTTTCTGATGACTTCCCTTTTCAGCGACCTTTTCGTCCGCTCAGCAATGATGTTTGGTCTTTCTGAAAGTCGTTCCACACGACAATGGCCTTCTTCATTAAGTTTCTTGACAGTATTATTATCCGTTTGATGTTGAACCTTGAAAAAACTAGCAATTTCTCTATTTGACTTGCCACACTGATGCCATCCTATTATTTACCATTCTTGAAATTAATCAATTTCCTTACTTCCGCGAACTTTCATTGCAAAATATAAGTCAACTATCGTTCATAGATGACAGTAGCTTGATACTAACACGGTATTGTCTGAAAAAAAAAGAAGAGACGTTATTACACAAGCCAAAATTAATTTAAGCAAGGGTGGCAAAAAAAAAAACTTATCATAGCCCACTGTACCTGCAGAAAAAGGGTTTTACCCCCAAGGATATTCATACGGACAGGGTTGCTACATTAGAATGCCCTATTTTTTTTCAAGCTTTCCATTTACATCGCTGCATCTTTGGCACTCTTCATATTTTGGCAACCTGCTCTTACTTTTGCAATATGAATTTCTTACAAGTCTTTTAAGAGCATGTAAGAATTTCCATATTGTGAGAATATGGGATGACACTTGCTGCAAAAAAGCCCTATGCCATTCTTCAAGGGCGTTATTAGTTCTGCATAAATTAGCATTGACCCTCTCAAAGCAAGATCACACACGTATTTTAGACATAAGTATTTCGTGTAATTATCCTTGAATATAATTTCCTTTAGATTAATTTTGGTTCAAACAATTTACAATTCGAATAAATGTTTTTCGAACAATTATTTTCTCGATACGTTAATAATATACACTTAAAAGCTCTGCTATATTACATCGAGCACTATTTTATTAACACCACCTTTCAATTTTAGATATCTCATATATATGTATATATATATATATATATATATATATATATATATAGTCAAACCTAGTGAGCCAGAAAAACCTAGGTAGGTTTGTCTGGCTCACTAGGTGTATCTAGGTCTGCTCTACGGTTGTATTGATCTCTTTTGTTAGTTGTTTACTCGTATCGGGGTTTTTTCTTTGGGCTTCAGACCTGCATCTGTGCGATTTTTTTGTCGGCAGAAGTTCATGTTTGTAACTCTTTCTTTTTTAAAACCTTTTTACCCTCGAGATTGATTTGATTATTGACAAATCAAAAATTCAAGGGTTTTTTTCGAAACGAGTATAGTTATCTATATTTGTATTTATATATATATATATATATATATATATATATATATATGTGTGTGTGTGTGTGTGTGTGTGTGTGTTTCCAGTAACTCGGTGCGTCTTAGTCGCATTATCTCCTTGCTTAGAGGGAATAGATTTACATATATATCTTCATATATATATATATATATATATATATATATATATATATATATATATATATAAAAAATAGTCATCTAAAGCATGAATCAATAAAGGTGATGTAATTAATGGGGAATATTCTTCGATAACAGATTAAGTAAGAATTAACCGTCTAGATCACTCGTTGAACGACGCGATCCTTGGTTTTATTAATCGTACAACGGATTAGAAAGTTCGGTCCAAATTGTTCGTATATATTTTCTGTGAAAACATTTGCCACCATCAGGCAAAGATAATACTTTTTCTCAATTCGCTATTAATTCCATTAACTTTATTGTTTTATTCTTTGAATGACTATTTTACGATATTAATGAAGCTGCATTTCCCTGACGATCCGCTTAGGTGAAACCTGTGTAGGTTTGTCTGACTCACTAGGTTTATCTAGGTCTGCTCTACGGTTGTATTGAACTCTATTGTTAGTTGTTTACTCGTGTCGGGGTTTTTTTGTTTGGGCTTTAAACCTGTATCTGTGCGATTTTTTTCGACAGACTTTCATGTTTCTAACTCTTTTTTAAAACCTTTTCCCCTTCGAGATTGCTTTGATTATTGTGTGTGTGTGTGTGTGTGTGTGTGTGTGTGTGTGTGTGTGTGTGTGTGTATCTGTATGTATGTATTAATGATACAATATGGTATTCCAGACAGAGCAAAATTATTATTAATTAAAGAATATCAAACACTTAAAATCCTATAGGTAATAATTTTTATTTCATGAGAGCTCTAAAAAACATCTCTCATTCTTCAAAATCTAGAACCAAATAATTATTTTTTTGTTTGTTTGTAGGTCTTGAAGATTGAGAGCTGTTTTTTTTTTTTTTTTTAAAGGTGTCATAAAATAAAAATGACTATCTTACCGGATAACCTGACTGATTTAACATCAGTCAGATATCTTACCTCTAGGCCATCTCGGCACCCCACGTCTGGGAAGGAAGGGAATTTTAACGTTTTTCTATATACGAAATACGTCAGCATCTTGTAGAATTAAATTCAATTTTATTTGAAGAGCAATGCTTAATAGAAGTAGGAGCCGGTGATTTTTTTAAACCACTTTTTCCCTAGAGAGTTCAAATGTATATGAGATAGTGATATATATATATATATATATATATATATATATATATATATATCAAGAACAGTGTTGAAAAATTATAAGACGAAGTGGAAAAACTTTACTAGTAACGCGTTTCATCCTTCAGAACGTCATCCGATTAATTTTGTTATGTTGGTAGTACTACGCATGCGCACTGAAGAGCGGTGCTGGGAATTTTAGGTTTTTTTTTTTTTTCAGACGAATTCGTTTGGAAGGTTGTTCTTTTTCTTTCCATCATCCAAGTTCTAAGTAGGTATTTCACACTGTGATAGAAGAAGATCTGTCAGGAATGGTGAAATATTATAAAAGCCAGGGCACAAATAAATTTACTATAGAAAAACTTGCAACTAAGGTACTCTCTAGACATTTACATAAATACGGCAAATAAAACAAATCTAAAATTTGTAGTCGCATCAACATAGCAAATTTAGTCTGATGAAGTCCTGAAAGACGAAACGCCTCACAAGTAAACCTTTTCCACTGTCATACATTTTTCCAACACACACACACACACACACACACACACACACACACACACACACACACACACACACACACACACACACACACACATCCTCCTCTGGTAGACGCCTAGTTAATGATAATGGGTTTGTATTAGCGATTGGTGGGGGCATAAGGTATCTTATCCCGGGGGAAGCGGTCTGGGTTTGGAGTTTATTTATGTCCAGGACTTCTTGTTTGTAGTTTATCTATCTATCTATCTATCTATCTATCTATATATATATATATATATATATATATATGTGTGTGTGTGTGTGTAATTAGTTGTATATATATATATATATATTTGTGTGTGTGCTCTGTGTGTGTGTGTGTGCAATTAGTTGTATACCCATAAATATACAACTCCTTAAAACAATATTTCTTCATATATATATATATATATATATATATATATATATATAGAGAGAGAGAGAGAGAGAGAAAGAAAGAGAGAGGGAGAGAGAAAGCGTAGTTTTTTTTATCTGGTTTACACACCTTCTCAGACCTTTGAACAGGAGTAAATGCTTACCCCTTGTTTCCTGTTTAGGATTGGGTTTCTGGCTCATTTTAATGTCTCATTTTATTTAATTTCCAGTAACTCGGTGCGTCTTAGTCGCATTATCTCCTTGCTTAGAGGGAATAGATTTACATACATATATATATATATATATATATATATATATATATATATATATATATATATATATATCATAAGGATTCTCTGTCGTTTCAGACAACCGTGTGTAGAAACTTTTTTGCCGCGGATAAAGTAGAGAATTATATAAAACCTCTGTTGCAGCCCATCTGTTTTGAAATGAAAGCCTTTCCCCTTCCCAGTGCCTCACTGTAGGCAGAAGCTGACTCCCCTAATTTTTAATTGTCGTCCTTCCTAGCAGTTGAGGCCTTTCGTATGTCCACCGGGGCAAACAGCGCGGCAGCTGGAGCGTCGTTGTCTGCAGTTGATTGCCCTTAGGGGGGCCCCACCCTGCCGACGAAACAAAGCCGACTGACTAACGATATTTTCCGACTTCTCCCTCGAAGGAAATCGTTGATGTCTAAACACATCAAATTCAACTCTGTATTTTTCCCCGCCTCTCATCATTTTTGACTTCTTTCCTTCATACTTTTTATTGTTTTTTTTATTTCTTTCTTTTTGATTAATTTTCTCTTTTCTTCCCGTCCTTTACTTAAATATTTTATATTTTTTTCTTTATTATATTTTTTATTTTTCTTCTTTATTTCATTCGATCATTAGTTTTCTTTCTCTTTTTCATCATTTTTATCGTTTTTCATTCTCATTTTCTTACTCCATTTCTTTATCGTTTTTTTTCTTCTTTTCTTAATTCTTCTTATCGATTTTATTTCTCTTTTATTTTTATTTTTATTTTTCTTCAAATTTTTTTATCGTTTTTCCTTTGCCATTCCTTCATTCGTTTATTTTTCTTTTACTTCTTTGATGCTTTTTTAGTTTTTCCTTCATTATTTTATCGTTTTTTTCTCAACTTTTATTCATTCTCTTAACTTTCTCTTTCTGTTTTTCTTCATTCATTCATTGTTTTCTTTCTACTTTCCTTCATTATTTTTATCGTTTTTCCTTCGCCATTCCTTCATTTGTTTATTTTTCTTCTACTGTCTTTTCGTTTTTAGTTTTTCCTTCATTATTTTATCGTTTTTTTCATCAACTTTTCTTCATTCGTTTATTGTTTTCTTTCTCTTTTCCTTCATTTTGATTGTTTTTTCTCTTTTTCATTTTTCTGTTTTTCTGTTTTCCTTCTTTTTTCTATCATTGTTTTTTCTTCTTTATTTTGTATCATTTTTTTCTCTTTTCTTTCATCCGTTTAACTTATTTTCACCTGTGCAGACCAGCTGTCATGGAAATATTTGTAGAAAAGTCAGAGGGAAGTCACATAACGTCGGTGAGAAGGGGGACTGAAGCCGAGATGCCATATCAGGATCGATTTCTGACACGGCACAGTGAACTAACTTTCCTTGCAGTAGATGCAGCAATTGATACAATATATTTGTTCCACTTTCTTTCTTTCTTTACAATTGTTTCTTTTTTTCTCTTTACAATTGTTTCTTTACCCCTTCCTTTTTTCCTTTCGTTTTTACTCTTTTTCCTTTCTTTCTTTATTTCGTTTTTCCTACATCCTACTTCTTCTCTATTATAAATTCTTACTTTCTTTCTTTTTTTCTAGCTTTCTTTTATTTTTGAAAATTCTTTCTGTCTTTCCAATTATTTCTTTTACCTTTCATTCTTTTGTCCTTTCTTTCTTGCTTTCTTTCTCGTCTTCTTCATCAGTCTTTATTATCACAACTTCTTTCTTTCCTTCTTTCTTTCTTTCCTTCTTTCTTTCTTTCCGTCTTTCTTTATTTCTTTCTTTCCGATTCTTCTTTTTTTCCTTTCTTTTTTCTCCTCTCACTTTTTTCCTATTTTTCTTTTCTCTTTTTCTCATCTTCTTTACTATTACAACTTATTTCTGTTATTTTCTTTCTTTTCTCTTCCTGGCACATTCTTTCTTTCTTTCTTTCTTTCTTTCTTATCTTATTCTCCTTTCTTTCTTTCTTTCACACCTTATTCTCCTTTCTTTCTTTCTTTCTTTCTTTCTTTCATTCTCGTCTGTCTGTTTGTTTGACTTTCTTTCTTTTTTTTTCTTTCTTTCTTTCTTTCTTTCATAGCTTATTCTTATTTCTTTCTCCTTTTTTTTCATTTCTTCTTCTTTTCTGTTATTAATGATGTTCAACTGTCTAATCTCTAAAGCAAGACCGGTATTTTTTATTTAATTTTTCTTCTTTTCCTTTTTCCATTTCTCGTTTCTTTTATTTCGAAATGCAAATTAATCTTCTTTGTATAAGTTTTCCTTTGTATTGTTCTTTCTTTGTACATTTACTTTACTTTTTGTCATTTTCATTTTTTTTTTTTTTTGCTTAATTTTTGTCTTATCCTTCTATTATTTTCTTTCATATCACATTCTTATTTCTTTCTTTCATATCACATTCTTCTTTCTTTCTTTCTTTCTTTCTTTCTTTCTTTCATATCACATTCTTCTTTCTTTCTTTCTTTCTTTCTTTCATATCACATTCTTCTTTCTTTCTTTCTTTCTTTCATATCACATTCTTCTTTCTTTCTTTCTTTCTTTCATATCACATTCTTCTTTCTTTCTTTCTTTCTTTCTTTCATATCACATTCTTCTTTCTTTCTTTCTTTCTTTCATATCACATTCTTCTTTCTTTCTTTCTTTCTTTCTTTCATATCACATTCTTCTTTCTTTCTATCTTTCTTTCTTTCTTTCATATCACATTCTTCTTTCTTTCTTTCTTTCTTTCATATCACATTCTTCTTTCTTTCTTTCTTTCTTTCTTTCTTTCATATCACATTCTTCTTTCTTTCTTTCTTTCTTTCTTTCTTTCATATAACATTCTTCTTTCTTTCTTTCTTTCTTTCTTTCATATCACATTCTTCTTTCTTTCTTTCTTTCATATCACATTCTTCTTTCTTTCTTTCTTTCTTTCTTTCTTTCTTTCTTTCATATCACATTCTTCTTTCTTTCTTTCTTTCTTTCATATCACATTCTTCTTTCTTTTTCTTTCTTTCTTTCTTTCTTTCATATCACATTCTTCTTTCTTTCTTTCTTTTCATATCACATTCTTCTTTCTTTTCTTTCTTTTTCTTTTTTTCTTTCATATTCTTCTTCTTTCTTTCTTTCTTTCTTTCATATCACATTCTTCTTTCTTTTTTCTTTCTTTCATATCACATTCTTCTTTCTTTCTTTCTTTCTTTTCATATCACATTCTTCTTTCTTTCTTTCTTTCTTTCTTTCTTTCATATCACATTCTTCTTTCTTTCTTTCTTTTCTTTCTTTCTTTCTTTCATATCCATTCTTCTTTTCTTTCTTTCTTTCTTTCTTTCATATCACATTCTTCTTTCTTTCTTTCTTTCTTTCTTTCTTTCATATCACATTCTTCTTTCTTTCTTTCTTTCTTTTCTTTCTTTTTCATATAACATTCTTCTTTCTTTCTTTCTTTCTTTCTTTCTTTCATATCACATTCTTCTTTCTTTCTTTCTTTCATATCATTCTTCTTTCTTTCTTTCTTTTCTTTCTTTCTTTCATATCACATTCTTCTTTCTTTCTTTCTTTCTTTCATATCACATTCTTCTTTCTTTCTTTCTTTCATATCACATTCTTCTTTCTTTCTTTCTTTCTTTCTTTCTTTCTTTCATATCACATTCTTCTTTCTTTCTTTCTTTCATATCACATTCTTCTTTCTTTCTTTCTTTCTTTCTTTCTTTCTTTTTTTCATATCATTCCTCTTTCTTTTTCTTTCTTTCTTTCATATCACATTCTTCTTTCTTTCTTTCTTTCATATCACATTCTTCTTTCTTTCTTTCTTTCTTTCATATCACATTCTTCTTACTTTCTTTCTTTCTTTCTTTCTTTCTTTCTTTCTTTCATATCACATTCTTCTTTCTTTCTTTCTTTCTTTCATATCACATTCTTCTTTCTTTCTTTCTTTCTTTCATATCACATTCTTCTTTCTTTCTTTCTTTCTTTCATATCACATTCTTCTTTCTTTCTTTCTTTCATATCACATTCTTCTTTCTTTCTTTCATATCACATTCTTCTTTCTTTCTTTCTTTCTTTCATATCACATTCTTCTTTCTTTCTTTCTTTCATATCACATTCTTCTTTCTTTCTTTCTTTCTTTCTTTCATATCACATTCTTCTTTCTTTCTTTCTTTCTTTCTTTCATATCACATTCTTCTTTCTTTCTTTCTTTCATATCACATTCTTCTTTCTTTCTTTCTTTCTTTCTTTCTTTCATATCACATTCTTCTTTCTTTCTTTCATATCACATTCTTCTTTCTTTCTTTCTTTCTTTCTTTCATATCACATTCTTCTTTCTTTCTTTCTTTCTTTCATATCACATTCTTCTTTTTTTCTTTCTTTCTTTCATATCACATTCTTCTTTCTTTCTTTCTTTATTTTTTTTATATCTTATTTATCTTTCTTTCTTGCTTTCATATCTTATACTTCTTTCTTTCTTTCTTTTATATCTTATTCTTCTTTTCTTTTCTTTCGTTGATAATTTATTCTTCTTTCTTCCTTTCTTTCAAATCTTATTCTTCTTTCTTTTTTTCATATCACATTCTTCTTTCTTTCTTGCTTTCATATCTTATTCTTCTTTCTTTTATATATTCTTCTTTTTTCCTTTCTTTCATAACTTATTCTTCATTCTTTCTTTCTTTCTTTCATAATTTATTCTTCTTTCTTTCTTTCTTTCTTTCTTTCATATCGCATTTTTCTTTCTTCCTTTCTTTCATATCTTATTATTCTTTCTTTCTTGCTTTCATATCTTCTTTCTTTCTTTCTTTCTTTCTTTCATATCCTATTCTTCATTCTTTCATATCTTATTCTTGATTTTTCTTTCTTTCTTTCATAATTTCTTCTTTCTTTCTTTCTTTCTTTCTTTCTTTCTTTCTTTCATACCTTATTCTCCTTTCTTTCTTTCTTTCTTTCGTACCGTATTCTCCTTTCTTTCTTTCTTTCTTTCTTTCTTTCTTTCTTTCTTTCGTACCGTATTCTCCTTTCTTTCTTTCTTTCTTTCTTTCTTTCGTACCTTATTCTCCTTTCTTTCTTTCTTTCTTTCTTTCTTTCTTTCTTTCTTTCTTTCTTTCGTACCTTATTCTCCTTTCTTTCTTTCTTTCTTTCTTTCTTTCTTTCTTTCTTTCTTTCTTTCTTTCATATCTTATTTTTATTTCTTTCTCTTTTTTTTCATTTCTTCTTCATTTCATATTCTTTTACAGAGCCGAAGACTGTATTTCCCAAGTGAACTTTAAGTTTGAAAGCAAGTTTGATTTGTCGAATCTGATAGTCTGTCTTCGACTGTCAGACAAGGTGACAGAGTTTAGTATGAGGCGTTTTCTCTGCCCTGGGAATTTCTCGGCTAATGAGTTGTAAACAACAACAACAAAAACTTAAATGCTGCAAAATAGGAAGAAAATCAGTAGCGTTCCTTGCTTCCTACTCGGCTCAAAGATTATCCCTATCAGCACGATCATTCTGCTGAATCAAGCAATTGAATTCTGGTGAGGTCAGTTATAGATGCTTTAGGAAATTCTTCTTGCTCGGGCCGAATAATTTTGATTTTCTCCTCACGCACACACACACACACTGACACACACACACTCACTGACACACACACACTCACTGACACACACACACACACACACACACATTCACACACACACACAAATATATATTTCAAGACATTTTCATGTTTATAAGTTCTTTTTATAGATACAAATACTTAAGTAAATGCTCTGTTCATGAGAAACAGTATTAACGACATTTACCGGTTTATGTGACGGTTCCGTATAGGATACAGGTTCGATTCCTGTCGCAGGACGCATATATTTCTCGGACATTCAGGCCGGTAAACGTCGTTAATACTGTTTATTATAAACAGAGCATTTACTTAAATATTTGTATCTATAAAAAGAACGTATAGACATAAAAATGCCTTTAAATAATTATCGGACTTTGGCCATTTCATAATGTGTGACGTCATTTGTTTACATTTGGATATGCATCGAGCAGATATGAATGTACGAGAGAAAATCATGGAGAATTGTACTTTAAAAACTGTAAAATCGACCTTGCTAACAAAAACGCTCCTCTGTGGCGAAATCGGTAAAAACACGTCAGGCTATATGACGGCTCCATATAGGATACAGGTTCGATTCCTGTCGGAGGACGCATATTTTCTATGAAAATTTCTCGGACATTCAGGACGGTAAATGTTGTTAATACTATTTATTACAAACACAGCATTTTCTTAAATGTTTGTATCTAAAAAAAGAACGTATAAACATAAAAAAAATGTCTTAAAATAATTGTTGGACTTTGTATATATATATATATGGTGGACTCTCTTAGGAACCGACAGCTCAGATACCAGCACATATGATTTGATTATAGCGGTGAAGGCTTTGTGCAGAACCAACCACACTTTTTGAAGGCCCAAATGCAGATACCTGGTGCACTACGTGTCACAAACGACCGTCCGCGGGTTTGAATTCAGAGTTGTCCTTCCCCCAGACCAGTTGCCATCAAAGTCTATAGAACCCAGTCTGTCCTGCAATTTACCCATAGCTGGAAGGAGAAGAGAACACATACCATTCCCAAGGGTATTATCACTTAAGTGAATGTAATGGTTTCGACTTGATTCCTCAAACCAAGCCGCTATCCATTACTCCACTGCATGCACAATTCCGGAAAATCTTCGTTGAAAACATGAAAACAATAAACAAATCTAAAAATTCCTGAAGCTATATACTTAAAACAGTTGAAACCTAATCTGAAAAAATATTCTTAAATGCCTATAATTGATAACAGCAGCCATTGGTTTATACCAAAGGCTTCCCATACTTAATACTTCTCGTTTTCACTCTCGCGTGGTCATGTGTGATGTCACGAGCTACGGTGTGATTTTCGCTTCCGCGTCTCGTATGCACGACTTTGTCGTTGCTTGGAAATCTTCGATGTAAACAAAAACAGACTGTCATCATTGTTTTATCCGTGTCTTGTTTAGTATATTGAAATGTAATTTTCATCTTTGATAATGGGTTATGTAAGCCGAAAGCTTAGATAGAATTAAAAAACATGAAAAAATATGGTGTTTTTCTTTCATCTTTCAATGATAATGTTATTAAGCTTATCAGACAATATGAAAGGAATTTACTTAAAATAAATAGACAAAACTTGTCTATATTATTTAATGAAACCTGCATCAATATATATATATATATATATATATATATATATATATATATATATATATATAATCAAACATGTTTGGTTAAATAATTTAGACGTATTTCTTACTGGCTGTAGAAATTGATTTAAAAATATTCCAAAACACACACAAAAATTTAATAATAAAATTGATAAATAAAAAGTTACCTCCCTTGCAGAGGAAAAAACTCTTGAATTTGAATTTGCCTCTGGAACGCTTCAAAACGAGGTAAAACGAACAGTGAAAAAATATTTACGGAACTACGTTTACACACCCACAGATAATTTAAAACCCCTGAAGATGGTCTCCGATGAGATTGAAAGTACTTTGAAAAAAAAGCTATTTGAAAGAAAATTTTGGTATTTTCTATAGCCACCAATAAATTAATTCGTGGAAAAGAATTAAAGCTAAAATAAATAAATTGTTTAATATTAACTACGAACATGGCCAACGTCTCTATAATACTAAATACATACAAACAACGCACAAACTTAATTTAACTGAAAACTAAGAATGGCTTAAAGTATAGCCGAAAGCTATAATTTGGACAGTTTCTACACACTCTGTCCTCAAAAGAAAACATTTGTTCGAACACAAAACATTAAATAAAAAGCTTAATCGTAGTACCTTGTCTGTCGTTTTTAATGAAACATGCATAAATGAAGGATTGCTGCCTTAATAGAATACACACACACACACACACACACATATATATATATATATGCGTGTGTGTGTGTGTGTATTTAGGCAGCAATCTTTCTTTCATGCATATTTCATTGAAAATTTAATTGAACTATTGTCAGAAATTGTCACTCTACACCTTTCTGATCATAGCTCAATTAAATATTCGTGGAGACCTACCGGACACTATTCGTAACATACTTGTTGACAACATTAATATAATAGCATCATCTACATACAAAAAAAAGGATAAAAATAATGGAAGCCTTATTAATAATAAAAAAAAACAGCACTTAATAAATATTAACTATGAACATGGACATACTATCTTCACCGTGTTTTGAAAAATGAAAACATTTTATAAAACATGCATACAACAAACTATTTCTTATTTTAACAGTTAAAATATAATCCTTGAAAATGATTAAATGTATAGCTGAAAGCGCTCGGATAAAAACAACATTCGGACAGTTTTTATTTAATTTATCATTCGAAAAGAAAAAAATTATTAGATCGCATGAGAAATTGTATAAAAAACTAAATAAAAGCAACTTGTCTGTCGTTTTCAATGAAACGTATATATATATATATATATATATATATATATATATATATATATATATATATATATATGTTATGGTCCAAGGGTAGGACCATGGAAGAACACCAGGAAACACAAGAGTAAAAATAACAAAGAATATATTACACGAAATAATAATACAAGTGGAAGGTGTTAGTATGACTGTCAGAATGGTTTGGAGTGAACTACTATCTGCTCGACTCGATTCAATACCGTTCGTCTCTCTTGAGAGGCGTAGTATACATAGCGTTTGGAAGAGTTCATTCTGTCGATCTAGGTAAGGACCCATGACAATATATATATGATAGATAGATAGATAGATAGATAGATAGATAGATAGATAATGATGATTCTTCCGAGATAGATAGATAGATAGATAGATAGATAGATAGATAGATAGATAGATAGATTATTGTTATTTCAGACATGGATAGCAATGGCAGAATACATAAAAGCCAAACCAAATGAATATCTCGAGAAATATATTTGAGATGCCATGTTCATGCTCCTGGTATGCTAATGAAACAAGTGGTTAAAAAGGAATGCCTTAAACGAAGATTACATTCCATAATATATATAGATGGATAAGCCCCGAAAGGAGAGAAAGAAAGATGAACAGAGTGAAAATAGCACATCGACATACCAGCATTCATATCTGTTTGTATAATAGAGACCAATAAAGCCGGATTTCAGATGACAGACATTTGGAGCTTAACACGGTGACGTTAATCACTCTTGATCCCATTTTACTTAACTTTTGTTCGTCGACCGAATTACTGGCTTCTGACAAACATTCCATTGTCTTTGTAACTGGCTTAACTGGTAAGACCGCCATATTCCAAGAAGCTGGGATCGAACTCTCCACATTATGAAATAGAAATCAGTACTAAAGGGTGTTCCAATAATTTGGATCAATTTTCAAAGTGAATTAAGTTTAAGCCCCTAATGATATTTTTTTTTTCTTTCAGATTTGACGGACATTTATGCAATATTATTTTTCACAAATAGTTGCCATGAATTAAATAACATGATCCAATAGAGAAATAAATAAATTTTCACGAATAACACTGATTTATTTACTACAGACTTTGTTCCGTCTTAATGGAACACCCTTATATATAAACAGTCTTAATAAAAAACAAATTGGAAAATAATTATATTCTTGAAAGCATGCCATGTATTGGATGACAAATAGAAACTTTAGAGTCTGGGTTCTTAACCGGGGCGGGTTTAATACCCCACCTCATCTTATTGATTTCTTGGTTTTAATGGAGAGGGTTTTTTTTTTCTTTTTCTTGTGTTTTATTTACGGAATTTTCTTTACAGAATTCCAATACTCTGTCATTCTAATGAAAAATTTTG